AGGCGTAGAGTGTTGGGCAAAGAGGGAAAATCAATCGACGAGGTTATAAAGTTACATAGACTAAGATGGCTAGGTCACGTGGTGCGCATGCCTAACCACCGCCTCCCCCGACGGGCATTGTTAGCTGATATAGGTTCAGGTTGGAAAAGAGCCAGTGGTGGCCAAACAAAAACATGGCATCAATCCATGAAATCCTTGACAGTTAAACTGAGTCAGGTAGGGAGATGCAGACTCCCGGGTTGGGGCCCTCGGACTCTAGGAATCAATGGCTGGAGACAATAGGTGACATGGCTCAAAATCGTTGTCAATGGCGCAGATGTATTCAGTCTCTGTAATCTTTCATATTCCTTTCTACCATTACCCATTCTGTTTCACTCTTATACTTGTCAAACTCTATTGATTCTCTTCACTCATCTTCTTGTCTACCTCTGTGTGCTATTTGGAAGGTGGCAACTGGAACTGGTGCACTTCGGTGCCAAGTTCTATGTTGAATCCAGTCAGTCAGTCAGAGATAGAGGGTGCATAGATCATATCTTCACTCTCTGACAGATTCTAGAACATAGACACACTTTTCGGCGTCCAACAATTGCCATATTTCTTGACTTGAAGGCGGCCTTCGACTCCGTGGACCGAAAAGTACTATGGCAATGTCTGACTGTGAAGGGAGTGCCAAGAAAGTACATTGCACTAATCAAGGCACTCTATTCAAACTACTCACGTAGTCGTGTAAGGGCTTATGGGGAATTGTCATCTGAATTGGTAACAACCAGTGGTGTCCGACAGGGATGTCCACTTTCCCCATTTCTGTTTAACTTCATCATAGATATCCTAATGGAAGTATCCTTAACTGAACGTAGTGACTTAGGAATCGACTTGTTACCAGGGAATAATCTAATGGACTTAGAATATGCAGATGACATAGTCCTGTTAGGGGAGGATGCTGACAAAATGCAGAGTCTTCTGAACACCTTGAGCAGCAATCTTCGTATGTTTGGCATGCGATTCGCCCCTGCAAAATGTAAGATGCTGCTACAGGACTGGACGACGTCAACCCCTAGCTTAGTGATAGGGAGTGAAGTGATAGAACATGTTGACCGCTTCACCTATTTGGGAAGTTGTATTAGCACCAACGGACTGATTGGCGATGAAATCTCAGCACGGATCCGAAAAGCTCGAGCTGCTTTCGCTGACTTACACCATCTCTGGCGTAGGCGTGACATCCGGTTATCAACCAAGGGACGTGTGTACTGCTCATCAGTTCGCTCCGTCCTTCTCTATGGCTCTGAAACATGGCCAATACGCGTTGAAGACATGAAAAGGTTGACTGCTTTCGATCATAGATGTCTGCGATCTCTGCCTCACGTTAGGTGGTTTCACAAGGTAAGTAATGTTGACGTTAGGCGTAGAGTGTTGGGCAAAGAGGGAAAATCAATCGACGAGGTTATAAAGTTACATAGACTAAGATGGCTAGGTCACGTGGTGCGCATGCCTAACCACCGCCTCCCCCGACGGGCATTGTTAGCTGATATAGGTTCAGGTTGGAAAAGAGCCAGTGGTGGCCAAACAAAAACATGGCATCAATCCATGAAATCCTTGACAGTTAAACTGAGTCAGGTAGGGAGATGCAGACTCCCGGGTTGGGGCCCTCGGACTCTAGGAATCAATGGCTGGAGACAATAGGTGACATGGCTCAAAATCGTTGTCAATGGCGCAGATGTATTCAGTCTCTGTAATCTTTCATATTCCTTTCTACCATTACCCATTCTGTTTCACTCTTATACTTGTCAAACTCTATTGATTCTCTTCACTCATCTTCTTGTCTACCTCTGTGTGCTATTTGGAAGGTGGCAACTGGAACTGGTGCACTTCGGTGCCAAGTTCTATGTTGAATCCAGTCAGTCAGTCAGAGATAGAGGGTGCATAGATCATATCTTCACTCTCTGACAGATTCTAGAACATAGACACACTTTTCGGCGTCCAACAATTGCCATATTTCTTGACTTGAAGGCGGCCTTCGACTCCGTGGACCGAAAAGTACTATGGCAATGTCTGACTGTGAAGGGAGTGCCAAGAAAGTACATTGCACTAATCAAGGCACTCTATTCAAACTACTCACGTAGTCGTGTAAGGGCTTATGGGGAATTGTCATCTGAATTGGTAACAACCAGTGGTGTCCGACAGGGATGTCCACTTTCCCCATTTCTGTTTAACTTCATCATAGATATCCTAATGGAAGTATCCTTAACTGAACGTAGTGACTTAGGAATCGACTTGTTACCAGGGAATAATCTAATGGACTTAGAATATGCAGATGACATAGTCCTGTTAGGGGAGGATGCTGACAAAATGCAGAGTCTTCTGAACACCTTGAGCAGCAATCTTCGTATGTTTGGCATGCGATTCGCCCCTGCAAAATGTAAGATGCTGCTACAGGACTGGACGACGTCAACCCCTAGCTTAGTGATAGGGAGTGAAGTGATAGAACATGTTGACCGCTTCACCTATTTGGGAAGTTGTATTAGCACCAACGGACTGATTGGCGATGAAATCTCAGCACGGATCCGAAAAGCTCGAGCTGCTTTCGCTGACTTACACCATCTCTGGCGTAGGCGTGACATCCGGTTATCAACCAAGGGACGTGTGTACTGCTCATCAGTTCGCTCCGTCCTTCTCTATGGCTCTGAAACATGGCCAATACGCGTTGAAGACATGAAAAGTTTGACTGCTTTCGATCATAGATGTCTGCGATCTCTGCCTCACGTTAGGTGGTTTCACAAGGTAAGTAATGTTGACGTTAGGCGTAGAGTGTTGGGCAAAGAGGGAAAATCAATCGACGAGGTTATAAAGTTACATAGACTAAGATGGCTAGGTCACGTGGTGCGCATGCCTAACCACCGCCTCCCCCGACGGGCATTGTTAGCTGATATAGGTTCAGGTTGGAAAAGAGCCAGTGGTGGCCAAACAAAAACATGGCATCAATCCATGAAATCCTTGACAGTTAAACTGAGTCAGGTAGGGAGATGCAGACTCCCGGGTTGGGGCCCTCGGGACTCTAGGAATCAATGGCTGGAGACAATAGGTGACATGGCTCAAAATCGTTGTCAATGGCGCAGATGTATTCAGTCTCTGTAATCTTTCATATTCCTTTCTACCATTACCCATTCTGTTTCACTCTTATACTTGTCAAACTCTATTGATTCTCTTCACTCATCTTCTTGTCTACCTCTGTGTGCTATTTGGAAGGTGGCAACTGGAACTGGTGCACTTCGGTGCCAAGTTCTATGTTGAATCCAGTCAGTCAGTCAGAGATAGAGGGTGCATAGATCATATCTTCACTCTTCGACAGATTCTAGAACATAGACACACTTTTCGGCGTCCAACAATTGTCATATTTCTTGACTTGAAGGCGGCCTTCGACTCCGTGGATCGAAAGGTACTATGGCAATGTCTGACTGTGAAGGGAGTGCCAAGAAAGTACATTGCACTAATCAAGGCACTCTATTCAAACTCACGTAGTCGTGTAAGGGCTTATGGGGAATTGTCATCTGAATTGGTAACAACCAGTGGTGTCCGACAGGGATGTCCACTTTCCCCATTTCTGTTTAACTTCATCATAGATATGCTAATGGAAGTATCCTTAACTGAACGTAGTGACTTAGGAATCGACTTGTTACCAGGGAATAATCTAATGGACTTAGAATATGCAGATGACATAGTCCTGTTAGGGGAGGATGCTGACAAAATGCAGAGTCTTCTGAACACCTTGAGCAGCAATCTTCGTATGTTTGGCATGCGATTCGCCCCTGCAAAATGTAAGATGCTGCTACAGGACTGGACGACGTCAACCCCTAACTTAGTGATAGGGAGTGAAGTGATAGAACATGTTGACCACTTCACCTACTTGGGAAGTTGTATTAGCACCAACGGACTGATTGGCGATGAAATCTCAGCACGGATCCGAAAAGCTCGAGCTGCTTTCGCTGACTTACACCATCTCTGGCGTAGGCGTGACATCCGGTTATCAACCAAGGGACGTGTGTACTGCTCATCAGTTCGCTCCGTCCTTCTCTATGGCTCTGAAACATGGCCAATACGCGTTGAAGACATGAAAAGGTTGACTGCTTTCGATCATAGATGTCTGCGATCTCTGTCTCACGTTAGGTGGTTTCACAAGATAAGTAATGTTGACGTTAGGCGTAGAGTGTTGGGCAAAGAGGGAAAATCAATCGACGAGGCTATAAAGTTACATAGACTGAGATGGCTAGGTCACGTGCTGCGCATGCCTAACCACCGCCTCCCCCGACGGGCATTACTAGCTGATATAGGTGCAGGTTGGAAAAGAGCCAGTGGTGGCCAAACAAAAACATGGCATCAATCCATGAAATCCTTGACAGTTAAACTGAGTCAGGTAGGGAGATGCAGACTCCTGCGTTGGGGCCCTCGGGATCAATGGCTGGAGACAATAGGTGACATGGCTCAAAATCGTTGTCAATGGCCAGGCAGATGTATTCAGTCTCTGTAATCTTTCATATTCCTTTCTACCATTACCCATTCTGTTTCACTCTTATACCTGTCAAACTCTATTGATTCTCTTCACTCATCTTCTTGTCTACCTCTGTGTGCTATTTGGAACGTGGCAACTGGAACTGGTGCACTTCGGTGCCAAGTTCTATGTTGAATCCAGACAGACCTGAGTTGGTGCCTTGGCTGTGGGTGCGTACTGATGAAGGATCACAAACTAGGCTGACGAAACAGCTGTCCAGTACTCCCTAGCAGGTTTTCCAATGTTTCTCTAACTAATATCACTTCATGATGAAATTTGTTACCAATCAATCAATCAATCAAATCCCTACAAACCAATACTTGAATGAAGAAATATTTACTTTTCAATTAGATTTAAATATTTCTTTGCTCAATCTTTCTGTTTTCTAAATATCTAAATGGGGATTTTTTCAAAACTTGAATGTTGACTGTTTATTTTGCTTTTTAACTTTTTTTAGCATATATCCCACATAACATCTTTATGTGAATGTACAAGTGTATGTCTTGGCGTTGGTACTAAACTTCATCCTACTACTACTTCTATTGATGACGACGACGATGATGATGAATGTCATGATGGGAATCCTCCCCAGAATAATACTGTTGATCGTTATCATCAGACGACAACAAAAACAACAGCAGAGATGATATCCGGTTGGGAAGGTCCAGCTATCCTAAGACATGGATCAGTCATTCAATTCGGTTGTTATAAATTTGTCTTTGGTCTAATCGATCTTGCTTTACCACCGCATCCTCCGTCGAATAATCTTGACTCGTCTTTATTACCAATTGGAGGAACAACCACAAATGCTACTACAATTACTGAAGATTCAGTCGTGGTTTCAACACAGACTATACCACCCAACTTCTTGATAAGTCATTACGAGAATCGAAAGTTGTGTTAAACTTAACTGAAATGAATAATCTACTTATTGATTAATATTTTGTATCGTCATTCTATGACTCCCTCCTTCTATCCTTCATTTGTATGTGAATATATCCATATATATTAGTACTAATCACAGCATTGTATATTTGTGCACGTGTGTGTCCATAACCAGATTTATTATTATCACTATTATTATCATCATCATTATTCATATTGCTCAATACAAATATTCATCTTACTCTGTGTTCATTTTTGTCGTGAAATAACTTTGTGCGTACTGCTGAAGAGTCCCAAGCTAGGCTGACGAAACAGCTATCTCGCAGTACTCCCTGCTCAGGTTTTCCAATGGTTCCCTCTAACTGATGTCAGCTCATGATGAAAGTCAAACAAAATCCCTACAAACCAATACTTGAATACCAATACTGGAACTGACTCTACTCAGATAGGTAGTTACCTGGGGTTCCACTGGGAAGTTGTGACCAGTAGGGTGCGGCAAGTCGGGTGTGAGGACAAATACTCGCCACTGATGCCATTGGCTAGCGGTTGCGCTATATCGTGAATTGGCAGGAGTTAGAATTCATGGGCTCTCCATTGGATCGGGTCCCAGTGGCTTAATGGCATACGAGCTCGCTAGCCTTGTGACCAGAAGGTCCTGGGTTCGAGCTCCGGTGGTGCGTACTGCTGAAGAGTCCCAAACTAGGCTGACGAAACAGCTGTCTGGCAGTACTCCCTGCTCAGGTTTTCCAATGGTTCCCTCTAACTGATGTCAGCTCATGATGAAAATCCTCTATGCAATCAAACACAAAATCTCAAAAACTGATACTTGAAAATAACTTTGTGAAAACACAACAGAAAGATTTCGACAACACAATACGAGAAGACGTGTAGTTTATCTGAAACGTGTAATTTGCATATTTGCGCAACACATTTTGGGACATTCTGATCACACACACACACGAGTACTTTTCATACACAGTTTTTATAGAAGGCATGAGCAATTACAATACAGGTCAAGGTCACAAATAATGGTTAGAGAGATGCAAAAGTGTGGGTAAAAAAGATAAAAAAAGAGAAGAAAAAAGAAAGCAAAGAAGAGGTTGAAAATAATATGAAGTAAATTGGTCCTCGACTCTAAATTGGATTACCAAGGCAGATTTAAGGTGATAACAGATATTTTTTGGACACATAAGACAGACAGGCTTCAATCTATTTAAGTATGTGACTTAACCTTGTTTTATATATGGGCTTAATAAAGGCATTGTTGAAATCAACCTTATGACCCATCTCTATAATGTGCTTCGCTATTGATGATGTTGGACATCTATTTCCGGGGTCTGGCGATTTTATTTGTTGTTACTATCTGTCTGTTTCTGATATAGAACTTTGCACATATCTGCAGCAGTTCGAGTCGCCACATTCCCTCCATGTAGCACACAAAGCAAGAGAAGAAAGTACAAGAAATGCATCATAGAGACAGTAAACAGAGGTGTGAGACAAAGGAATAGTAATAACGAAGAACAATAGAGTTTCATTGAAAATCATAAATCACAAGGAGTGGATGCATCTGCGCCATTGGGAACGATTTTGAGCTATATCACCAATTGTTTCCAACCATAGATTTTTACCGTCCCGAGGACTCCAGCCTGGAAGTCTACACCTTCCTACGTGGCTTAGACTGACTGTTGTGGATTTCATTGACTAGTGAAGTCATGTTTTGGTTTGACCGCCTCTAGCTCTTTTCCAGCCTGTCTCTGTGTCAGCTAACATTGCCCGTCGAGGAAGGCAATGGCTAGGGATGTATGCGTAAAACATGTCCTAACCATCTCAATCGGTGTAATTTCACAGCCTCGTCGATTGATTTCCCCTCCTTACCTAGCATTCGACGCCTAACTCGCCTGGTTGTTACAGCCACTTTGGAATGTGTTCTGTAGCCCTCTAACCTGCAGAGACCGATGGGTTCTTTCTATGTACGTGTGTCCACAAATGCATGTAAATTGATAAACACAATAGGATGTGACACTATCGTTCGGATAATGTGAGGGTTTACAGGACAGCATAGTTCTCGTTTTCTCTGTGAAGGTAAGTTTAACTGTATAATAGGTTCTATTAATTGCGGCCTTAAGTTTTTGTCTAGTGACTAGACTTTGTTGATCACCTCTGAACGGCAAGGATATGTAAACATATTTTTGGGGAGCTTATTGGATTGGTACACCTCTATGATGGTTGATACTTCCGTGACGCCTAATAAATCTCAGTGGGTAATTGTTATCTAACAATATTTCAGTGAGGTGTTGTCTTTTTTCTTCTTCAATTGTATCGGCAGTGTACATACACGGTGAATGCGCTTTTTTATAGTTTAGTGGACAGAAACTATGATAATTTAGATATTGTCCCGTCCATGTGAACATCTTGTAGATAGATCGTTTTACTGACCCATCTCGTCGGTGGTGGGTTATGAGTACATCTAAAAATGACAGGCAACCATTATTCTCTTTAACGTATGCTAGCGATATACTGTTTTGTACTCTGCTGATCTGGCTGAGGATTGGTATGGCGTCTGTCGGTTTATGGCAAATGACTATTACGTCATCTACATATCTCTTATAAAAATAAACTTTTCCAATTTCTTCCTCCACCAGGTTCTCAGCATGCGATATATGGACCTAGGGGGCTTGCATAGCAACACCATCGATCTGACGATATTGCTCGTCCTCGAATGTAAACTTAACATTGTTAGTACATCGACGCCTAGTTTAAAAATAGGAAGTGAAGTGGTAGAGCACGTTGACCGCTTCACTTATTTGGGAAGTACCATCAGCCCCAACGGGCTGATCTCTGACGAAATCTCAGCACGAATACAAGGGGCTCGTTTCGCATTTGTTAGTTTACGCCGACTCTGGAGTAGACGAGATGTTCGATTATCGACCAAAGGGCGGGTGTACTGCTCATCAGTCCGCTCCGTCCTCCTTTATGGTTGTGAGACCTGGTCACTGAGAGTGGAAGACATGAAAAGACTAGCTGTCTTTGATCATAGGTGCCTGCGTTCTATTTCCCGTGTAAAGTGGCATAATAAGGTGAGCAACATTGAGGTTAGGCGTAGAGTTCTAGGTAAACAGGGAAATCAATCGACGAAGTCGTGAAGCTACAAAGACTGAGATGGTTAGGACATGTGTTAAGCGTGCATGCCAAGCCATCGCCTCCCTCGACGAGCTATGTTAGCGGATATAGGGTCAGACTGGAAAAAAGCTAGCGGCGGTCAAACAAAAACTTGGCATCAGTCAATGAAATCCACAACAGTTGGTCTAAGCCACGTAGAAAGGTGTAGACTTCCAGGCTGGGGTCCTCGGGACGGTAAAAATCTATGGTTGGAAACAATTGGTGACATGGCTCAAAACCGTTCTCAGTGGCTAGCGCAGATGCATCCACTCCCTGTGACTTATGATCTTCAATGAAACTGTTTTGTATTTCTTTATTACTCCTTTGTCTCACACCTCTGCTCACTGTTTCTATTATGCTTTTCTTGTACTTTCTTCTCTTGCTTCGCGTGCTACACGGAATGTGGCGACTTGAACTTCCGCACATTTGTGCAAAGTTCTATGTCGAAAACAGACAGACAGTACAAAGAAGCAGTAACTCTTTTAAGTAAGGTATGGATACTGGTAAAAAGAATTCGTTGTCAGAGATGTAATCACATCAAATAAATGTCAACCGTCTGTAAAAGAGGTACATTTGTGTAAATAAAGAATCAACATCTAGAGGAAAATATGGTTTTGTCCTTTATATCAACGTTATCAAGACAATCAATCAACTCAAAAATATCTTTCAATGAGAACTTACAGAAGCTACTTCTAATAGGCTCTAATATTTCCACTAGCCACTGTGCAAGTTTATGGGTTGAAGATCTGCACATTGACATTATGGGACGTAGAGGAATGTTAAGTTTATGTGTTTTAGACAAAGATGTGAATGTTGTGACACAGAGTCAAAGGTGTGGGGAGATGTGGCTCATATACCCATAGGGGGGGGGGGGTTAGGCGTTCGATATTCTACCACAATGGATCATGACTGACTGGTTTCAACATACAGAGACACCTTTGCACAGAAGTGTGGCAGTTTGAGTTACCACACTCCCTACAATTAGCATACGAAACAAGAGAAGACAAGATTCGAAAGAGAGGTAGTGAACAGAAGTGTGAGGGAAGAAGAGTAGTATTATGACAAACTGCAAAGAGTGAATGCATCTGTGCCATATCACCAATTATCTCCAGTCGTCATTGATTCTTGCCAACCCGAGGACCCCACCAAGAAAGCTTACACCTTCCTACATGACTGGGTTAAACTAGCTGTCGAAGATTTCATGGACTGATGTCATGGTTTGGTTTGAACACCACTCTATCTAACTCTTTTCCAACCCGATCCATCCTCTGTCAGGTAACATCGCCCGTCGATCGAGGAAGGCCCCATAGCTAGGCATGCGTAACATATATCCTAACCATATCAATCGGTGCAACTTGACAACATCGTCGATGGATTTCCCGTCCTTACCAAGCACTAGTCGACGTCTCACCTCAATATTACCTTATTATACCACTTAGCACACATGGGAGATAGAACGCAGACACCTACGAACAAAGGCAGCTAGCTGGCCTTTCCATGACTTCCACTCTCAATGGCCATGTGTCACTCACAGCCATTAAGGAGGACAGAGTGAACTGCTGAACAGTACAAGCACCCATTGATCGACAACCTAATATCACGTCTACGCCAGAGTTGGAATATGCCAAAGCAGACTTCCGTATCCGTACTGAGATTTCGTCAGCGACTAACCCGCTCGCATTGGCTGATGCGACTTTCCAAATAAGTAAAATGGTCAACACGTTCTACCCCTTTTCACCCTATCTTGAAGCTAGGAGTCAATGTACTCCAGTCCCGTACCATCATCTTACGCTTGACAGGAACAAATCGCATGCTAAACATTCGCAGATTGCTGCTCCTCAAGGTGTTCGGAAAACTGTGCATTTTGTAAGAGTTTTTATAACGACAGAAGACAAGGGCCAGGAAACAGATCGTTTATTCAGAAAATCAACAGATATTTATAGATTTTTATGTACATGATCATTCGTTATTTTAACAGAGAAGCAACGTCTTCTGATTGGTTGTTTTCCTGCTGAAGGTTATCCTGTCACCTCTTTTTCGCCGTTTCTAACACAGTCCGGTGATTTATCTGCGAATCGTATCCGACCACGCAGTCTATTGTAATTGGTTGTTGGGTTCCTCAAGGTAAGGCTTTATTCTTGTTTTTCCTCATGGCCCCGAGGACCGAACCCAGTGCCCATAGTTTCAAACGCCAAAGTGTTATCCACTAGACCACTTGGGCCACCTCTTGTGCAACGGGTCATATTAATTTAATTGAATTTTCGATTTTCCCGTCAATTAAACTAATATGACCCGTTGCACAAGAAGTGGCTCTCGTGCCCCAAGTGGTCTATTGGATAACGCTTTGGCTGGTGTTTGAAACTATGGCCACTGGGTTCAAGCCTCGGTGGGAATATCATCACTCACTGAGAAATGCAAGTACATCCAACTAACGAGTCCCAAATAGGACGAAATGCGCTTTATCCTGGATTCCACTGCTAGCCACCATCCACCAATTGTATACTAATTAAATGCCCAGACATCGTCGAAGCATCTGCACAAGAAGCCGACATGTCAACCCGAGACCGAGCACTTCGGTCCAATCAATCGACGGGAAAATCAAAATTTCAATTAAATTGATGTCAATTGTTGTCTGCCATTTTGTCTCGCAGACACCTCTCACCACATCTTCACCCAGTTGCGAGGACTATATCATCTACATATTCTAAGTGAACGAGATTATGCCCTGGTAACACGTCAATCTCTGAGGTCAGTTAGGGTTACCTCCATTACTACATCCATAATGAAATTTAACAAAAATGGGACTGTGAGTTGGTGTCCCCGACGCATACCACTAGTTGTCACCACTTCGCATGAGAACTTTTCATGAGTCTTAGCTGGCTAGGTGTGTGATTTCGAACCCCACCTATCTAGGTTTAAATATCCAAGTAGTAAGTACATAAGCCTTGACAAAATACGCGTGGTTCATTGCTAACTGCATATAGAATTATGCACACACTATTGTGTGGAGGCTAATAACACTACCCAGTTACCCAGGCTAAAGTAAGTGAAGCGGGTCTCGAACCTAGAACCCACTGACTAAAAGCTAAGTGCTTAAGTCATTATGCCATATCTCAGCTTATGACGTACGTTAAGTACCTAGGCTAATAAAGCATAGGTTTGAATATGCTCCCTCACCGATATGACAGAGTTGAATTATTCTTCCATGGGTTTGCATTGGTTAGTTCAGTAGGATCATCTGGAGTATGGCAAGTCGTAATACTGCTTATAAAAGACTGTAGCTCATTGCTGTAGGCACGTTAAACCCTAATCAATTCGTCATAAAATCTAACCTCTGTCATGACCAGTCCTTTCATTCCTTTATAAACTGCACAAAACGAAAGGTTTTATTTAGGCCAGTAATATCTTGCAGCTGTTTGTGCCAATTCAACAAAATCCTTTACTACTTGACTTCAGCCATGAAATGAAATATAAGCCCCCCTAAGGTAGTTACTACATTGGATGCTTCACTTCAAATCGAAGCGCCTAAGAAAGAGATGATATTTTGTTTAGGGAATAAAGGCTTGTGACATCAGTATCCAAACCTTAGTAGGTATGGTAATCTTCCAATCTATAACCCAAACGTGAGGCGCTTATGAAGCACGCTAAGGAAATCGTTAATTTTAGGTGTTAACTAAACTTTATCGTCAACATAATGTTAATTCTATCCTAAATTGAATAGATTTCAAATAAAAGATGCTACAGGATTGGACTATATAGGGAGTGAAGTGGAACAGTATGTTGACCACTTCATTTATTCGGGAAATCGCATCAGCCTCAGAAGTATCAAAGATAGGACTTCAGGTGAACATAGACAAAACAGAGATGATGATTTCTGCCCAACACCAACAGCAGCAACAACAGACAACAATCAGCCAGTATAAATGGGAGGAACCTGAAAGAAACAACATCCTTTACCTACCTACCTACCTGAGAAGCATCGTTTCGACTACAGGCAGACGGAACTGACGAGGATATCAAAGCAATGAGGATCGGGAAAGCAAGACAAGCTTTCATTACTCTCAAGTCTGTGTGCAGGAGGTCAACAGCACTCAGCATCAAAATAAGATCCGGATTTTCAACTCCAATGTGAAGTCAGTGCTACTCACTATACGGATCAGAGACTTGGCCAGCGCGTCATAAAGAGCATCTCAAACAAACTAAGGACCTTCATTAACAGTTGTCTTCACTCAATACTCAAGATCAGATGGCCAGGAAAGATCACCAACAGGGATCTCTGGCAATGAGTGAACCAACCAGGAACCGATTGTGCAACAAATAAGCAGGAAGAAATGGAGATGGGTGGATTGGACATACTCTGAGGAAGTGAACCATCAAGTGACATCACTAGACAAGACATTACTCGAGTGGATCCCGAAAGGGAAGCGGCGAGTTGGTCGTCAGTGCAAGAGTGACATGGAGGAGGTCATGTGAAGAGGAGATGAAAGCATGTGGGCAGACTTCGAGCGGGGTGAAAACGTTGGCAGAAAACCGAAGGCAATGGAGACTTGGGCAGCTGAAGCCCTATGTTCCTCTAGGAATTAAGGGTTATAATAATAATAATACCTTTCCCTCATTACTACGATTATTATTATTATTCTCACTCTGAATTATTTCCACTTGACCCACTTGTCCTTCTAAATCTAAAAAGCATTTTTTCGCAATATTGAATTCTATCTTATCAAATTTCACACCATGTTACGTAACATTTTATATTCGTCTACTAAACTTATAATTATGTACCCCTTCCAAAATTTATATACCTTATGTATTATTATTCTATACATGACATTAATTATTTTGCCACTTGACATTAAACTATGATTATAATCACAAATATTTAACTGCATTTCATACTACTACTATCATGATTTCATGTGTCCAGACTTTTGACCTAATTCTCTCACTGGATATAATATATATATATATATATATATATATATATATATATATATATATATATATATATATATATATATATATATAAAGGGCGAGTGGTATCTCATTGGGCCATATCGTTGACATTGTAACTGAAAGGCATTTGATGTCGTGCAACAAATTTGCTAAAGGAATTTTGTCAGACTCTGAGCATCCACTCTACCCGCAGCTCCAACCTTGTGTCTCCTCAGGTATAACAAGGAGTCTTTTTAGAAGAATTTACGCTCGTATGTCTAAGTATAAAAATTCCACTAAACCATATTTAGCACGTACTTAATGTGATGAAAATAATGTCAGGCATGAACTAACTAACTAACCTTCTTTGCACTACTAAATAAACCATTTCTTCCTCCACACTTACAACATCAAGCTTTATTGTTATTGTTTTTCTTATATTTATAATCCTATCAATTTTTTTTGTTTTTTTTATTTATTTTTCATAATTGTGAACATCAACAGAACATTAGATTCAACACTCTATAGTAACATGCTAAAATTTTCAAACTGAATCGACAATACTGTTTGAAACAAACTCACTGTTATTATTATTATTATATTTAATGATCTCAATTCGTGCTTCGAATATTTTTGACTTTATACTATAAACGTGGACAAATTCCTCTGGTTACTTTTGTTTTAATCTTTAATTTTATTTATATTTTAAGTAAATCATATGCAATATTGTAACAAATGCTGAGAATTCCATTCTGTATCATAAATAGTGCTGTTTTTCGAATAAAGTAAAATTAATTATTATATATACGATTGTACAGCTTGATAATAAATTCGTTGTTGAAAAGAGTCTCTTCGCCGAAGAATACTGTGCTCTACAATGTCTACACCTATTTGAAGAAGATTTTCGATAGCAATTACACTTTATTGTTGAATACTAACCAGTGTATGAAAGTAGCAAGTAACCCCCATCTATCTGACAACTCGTTTAACAAGACTGCACTGATCACGAAAGCTACTACTACTACTACTACTCTTACAAAGAGTATTGACATCACAGCTCAATTTGTGAACAAATACTTTCGCGTGTTTGTTTGTTTTTCTAAAGTAAAATTAAAAACTATTTTATTTTACACTTCTATTGTAATGGTGTCTTTTTTACAGACCATTATAGCTAAAAACAAAATTCTAACTTCAGTCAAAACAAGAGTAATAATAATAATAATAATAATGACCATAACAGAAGAAGTAATTTGCCTAGTGTTCTGCTGTAGATACATGATGCTCTTGCTGCCTTCGCCAATGATCAAATCCATTAATGACTACAGTAGCTGCAAGGCCTAAAGCAATACCATGCGGTAATCTTCGTAGAAATAATTCTTTAACCCATTGAAAACGTGTTTTGTATATTTTCGGTGAATAATGCCAAGCATAATTTCTAAAAAGGGAATACAAAAAAAAAAACAAGAAAGCGAAATAGTGCAGAAAACAACACATTTTAAGGCATTTAACCTTGTGTGAATTAATTCCTGAACCATTAGTTACACATTAGGCTCATTAGCCTAAGCACTCTCAACTGTCTACCTGTCAGCCAATGGGTCCCAGGGGTTCGAATCCTATTCCATCTAATTTAGGATGGTCAACTGAGTAGTAGTATTAGTAGTAGTGTAACAACAGAAAACAAGGGTCAGGCAACATATCATTTATTTACGAAATCAACAGATATTTATAGATTTTATTGTACATTATTATAGATTATTGTAAGCAAACAACAAACACAGTCTTCTGATTGGTGGTTTCTCGCTGAACATTAATCTTTTATTTCTTTGTGGCTGTATACTGAAGTTCAGATTATCTATCTGCTAATTGTATCCGCCTACGCAAAGTCTGCTGTGATTGGTGGTTGAATCAGTCAGTCTTTGTTCTTATTTTTCTCATGGCCAATATTGGGGACGTAAACATTGACGTAAATTACTATATACCAATTTTCGGCTAGCAGCCAGATCTCTCACCACAGTAGTATTATTAGCCCTGAGACAACAGGTGTTTAGCTCATAACCCGGTACCGGATAAGTCAATTCTAGCTAACTAAGTCATATACATCTCATTGTAGTACGTAAGTTTTAGGCGCATTTATAAGACTGATGGTTCTTAGCACCTTTACCTAAGATGATTATATCGTCTGCATATGCTTAGCGCCAATGAGGTGTTTCATTAATAGTTGATCAATCAATTCCTGAGGTGGCATCAAAGTCAATCAGAGGTATATCGACTGAGATGGTCAGGACATGTGTTACGCATAACTAGTCACCGCCTACCTCGACCGACAGGTAATGTTAGCTGACATAGGGCCAGGTTGGAAAAGAGCCAGTGGGGGTTAAACCAAAACATGGCTTCATCAGTCAATGAAATCCACAACAGTTAAGTTTAAGCCAGCCAGCTACATAGGAAGGTGTAGACTTGCTTCCTGGTTGGAGTCCTCGGGACGGTAGAAACCAATGGAGGCAAGAGACAATTGATAATATGACTCAAAATCATCCTCAATGGGACAGATGCATCCACTCCTTGTGACTTATATATATACAATAAAATTCTATGATTCTTCCGCACTATTATTCCTTTTGCCTTATATCTCTGTTTGCTGTCTCTATTTTGCATTTCTTTTTACTCTGTTCTCTTGCTTTGTGTGCTGAGTGAAGTGTGGTGATTTGAACTGCTGCACATCTGTGGAAAGTTCTATGTTGAAACCAATCAATCAGTCACTCTATAGCATTAACGCAGGTTCGATATAAAACTTGACAACTCATTATCGAATTTAATTGCATGTCAAGTTAAAAACCATTTAGAACAGGATGTTAACAGGGGCTACTGATCTCTTGGCATTTTAGATTCATGTAGACTTTTAGGCAACTTGTAACACATGACTTACTGTATTCATTTCTTTGCGTTCCAATTAGAACATAGTGCTACAAGTTTGAGCTTTGAAATTGTTTATTTTTTTTCCGCAGCGGTGTTGCCACTTTTATAGGAGGTAGCTGCTAGCATCATGTCAAACCTTCTAAGCTTACCACCAATACTAGTAAACAAGGCGGGGTTTAAGAGTTCGTCCACCGGAAATCGGGACTCGGACCACCACATGCATGACTTACTAAAATATCAGTTAATTTTCCAAATCAATGTCTGCGATAAAGAAGCAGCTTCTACTGTCTTATTGATATTATGTGATCATATTACACGTTGTACCTTTCTGTTTGCTGTACCCAAAACTTTGGCAGCATGTTAGTTCACGTTAGTCAAACAAACAAAAAATCATCATGAGGCTGACATTAGTTAGAGGGAACCATTAGAAAACCTGCCAGGGAGTACTGGACCACTTCGTCAGCCTAGTTTGAGACTCTTCAGTAGTACGCACCCACCAGGATTCAAACACAGGACCTTCTGGTTACAAGATAAGCTCGTATGCCATTGAGCCACTAGGACCCGATCCAATGGCCAATGAATTTTAACTTTTAATCAAATTCTAACTTCCAAAGTCCTGGGTTCAAATCCAGGTGGATACATACCGATGAAGAGTCCCAAACTAGGACGAAACAGCTGTCCAGTACTCCCTAGCAGGTTTTCCAATGGTTCTCTAACTAATGTCAGCTAATGATGAAATCCTGTAACGTGGCAACTCGAACTGCTGCACTTCGGTGCCAAGTTCTATTTTGAATCCAGACAGACAGACAGACCTGTAACCAATCAAATCCTACAAACCAACACTTGAATAAAAGAAAACAATTTTTCGCACAAGAATTCTTACGTAGATATTGATCGTATGAAATGAAAACTGGATTACAGGCAGAATCTCAGAAGTTAACCATAAACACACATACGTATAAAGTGCTATCATATATATATATATATATATATATATATATATATAACAGAAATAGTAATACCTACCTAATCCATGGGTCCTTTAACCCGTGTTTAGCTAATTTCTCGACATGTGCTTTGAGAGATGGATGGTCAGTGTTGTAACTTCTCCAATCAGGACATTGCCAATCAACTTTCATACTTAATCAATTTTTAGCTGTTTGCATAACTTCTATTGATGATGGCATAAAAAAAGAAACAAATTAAGAGTAAAATCAAAATATAGAAATATGAAGATATTTCATTTATGCATACAATATAATAATAATAATAATAATTGCTTTATTCCAAAAACAGTACTCATGATACAGCAAGGAATTTTCAGCATTCAGTACAATATTGCATCTAATTTACCCAAAAACGACAAAAAAAATTAAAAATACACAATACATAATAGTAATAAAACGATTGTTGTAGCAGCTACGTAGCAAAATACTATGTGCCATACGGAGAAAAATATGTATAAAGTACAAAATTGTAGTAATAATAGTAATACCAACTAATATAAAATAGCAGAGTAACGATTTAAACGATAGAAAGTGTAACACCATAAAATACAGAAAGATGAGCGATAAAAGGGTCGATTCACTGTGCTAATTACATAGTAACTTGTAAGTTTCACGTCTAACAGAGTCTTCGTCACATAAAGTACGCGCTAAATAGGGTATTGTAGAATTTCTATACTTAGTAGTACGAGCATATATCTTTTTATATTGACTTCTCGTCCTACCTGATGAGATACAAGGGGACAGGTGTGAATAAAGGGGGTGCAGAGGGTCTGACATTATAGCCTTTGCCCATTTCGTACAGGAATTTATATGCCTCTCGACTATAGTATTAGCGAGCTCATGCAGTGGCAGACCACAAGCTCTACTCACAGCATTTAATACTCTTCGTAATATGATATAATCTTTTTTGAGAAGCCCAGGAAAGATTAATGGAGAGCAGTAGAGTACAATAGGTAAAATACAGGAGTTTAAAAATTGCAAAACTAAAGGTTGGTTGATACCTGATTGTCTTAACTTTTTAATGTAGAAGGTAAGACGAAACATTTTCTTAGAGATAGATAAGATATGGGATGACCATGAAAGGTCAGAGGAAAAAACTAGTCCAAGGTATTTAATACTTGATTTGGTTTCAATTTCCGTGCCATCTATGCTACAGGGATCATGAGAGTTAACTAGTTCAAGTAAGTCACGTCGATGCTTGAAAGTAAAGTCAAGCACCTGACATTTGGAAGGATTTAATATAAGACCATTTGACTTGGACCAGTTGTTGATGTCTTCGCTCTATGATAGGACGAAAGATCAACAATTCAGAAGGCATTAGGTTTATTGTTTTCTAAACTTCATTCACATGTCATATAACTGCAGAGCCGGTGATTTTGAAGACTGTTGCACTACTTAATATCATTATACTTATACCAAGAGGATTTTTCTCCTCACTTGAAGACTATAACGATATGTGACCTATATCAGCTGAAATAATTAATAAAGTTGTGGTTTCATAAATCAGTCAGAGGTTTATCCGGTCGCTTAACGTTACTGCTTGTTACAGTAATGACCAGTTAGTTATGCGGCGGATACATTTTTGTAACGTAGAATAACACATTGGTTATAGGGTGTCAAAATAAATAGTCGTATATGTTTGACAAACGTGCTTTGGGCTGAAATCGATTACAAAATATTTCGGTGGAATAGGAGACAATGGTGATGGTGATTAGTCATAATAGATTTGTAGAGTGTAGGGTAGGAAAACTGACAAGTAAGTCAGTTCAAGGTTATAAAAGGTGTCAGGTGAGTGAGTGGCTAGTACAAAGTGGTCTGTGTTAAACAGGAGATAGTAGAACTGCAATGAGAGGGTTTCACACCGATGAAATATAAACGTAATCTGATCAGGTGCTTAGCATTTACAGTGAGGTCCGTTTGTCTCAAAGACTGTATAAAGAAATAACTCCAGGTCATCCGAGACATTCTAATCGAGAACGGATATCCATAGAAGTTTATTAAAGCCAAAACATAGGTTACAACAGTTGTAAACATGAACTGGCAACTGTGGCGAAAAAGCCTCTATTTTTAAATCTACAATTCAAGGAAGACACTCCTGCAGAGATTCTATCGTAACGTTTAACCAGGACGATAAAGAAAGCTTTTTACTCTGCAAATCTTTTCTTATCCTTCAGTAGCCGTCCAGTGTTCACCCAACAACTCAAAGACGTTTTACCTAACCTTAATTCTTGCTCATGCATATACCATTTCAACTGTTCCTGGGTTCAAGTTACATACGGCGCACGGTCAGGCAGGTTCGCCTACAAGTTCAAGAACATTTACCAGCTTGGTTCAGCAAGGGGGGAATTAAGTGCAAAAAAGGTCGATTTTGTAACACTTAGTTAATACTGGACGCCAACACAGCTTTGTACAGCCACTTTCCTTACCTTGGCCATCGTTACATGAATTTATAAACCGGACTACTTCGCCCCCTCCCCCTAAACCTTTAAAAATTATAATTGTTCAAATAATTTTATTTTTTCTGACTACTTCATCTTTAATTACATGTTATCCTTGTAAAAATAATTTTATTTTTATGATCACTTCATCCTTAGTTACAAGTTGTCATTGTCCAAATCGTCTTTTTTTAACAATCCGTTACGTAATCAACCTGTGCACATGCTTATTCCTTAATTACTCTTCATATCTCCAAAATTATGCATTACGCAATCCACTTGTTGTAACCATTTCCACCTTTTAACTGTGACATGCTGACACTGACTAATTATTGTTAACAAACATATCAGTGCCGCTTGATTGGTAAATTGTATTGTAATAAAAATGCTATATATATATATATATATATATATATATATTAGAGCAGAGCCAGAGATGAGGATCTAATTAAAAAGTAAATATTTCTTCACTCAGTCTTTCTGTTTTCTAAATGTTTAAATGGGGATTTTTTTCTATATTGAAATCATGGGAGCAACGATTTGCGTTAAAGGTGCTCAATGTGTATCTGAAGTACAGTGCAAAGCTCAGTGAAGCGGGAATTTTTTGGAATTCATTCTCTAATTACAATAAGTCATTCGTAACAGACACTATTAATTGTTGATATGCCAAACGATTCTGCTGAGATCAACTTTCTGTGAATCCTACCAATCCATCGTTTTTTGTGTTTTTTAATTGGCCTGGTGTCGGCGGTCACTAAGGGTTGACTGAGAATGGATGGCAGAAGCTTATTTCTGTTGTTCCATCAGTATAGAGTACTGCTCAGATTCCCTAGCTAATAAATATCTAAGCAATTATATTTCCTTAAGCAAACTAGGCAGATGAAATTCATGTACTTTATATGAACTGAAGTCAGAAGTTGGAAGGTGAAGATCAGAAAACGACTGTAGCGTTTAGAGCCTGATAGTATGTTCTCATTTCTTTAATTTGGATGGGGGAATTAGGATACATTTTTTATTCCCTCACGTTCCCAGTGGAACATAGGGCTTCAAGCTAGAGGCTTGAAGTTTCTGTAGCTGTGGTGATTATTTTTACAGGATGGGTTTGCCAGCCTCATGCCCAAACTTTCCTCTTAACCAGCTTTATAACTGGCTTAGCAAGGCAAAGGAGTGAGTCGGTCGGGAATAGAACCCCAGACCATGTGCATGTTCGGCGAGCGTCCTAACCACTGTGCCACCGACGCGATTAGGATACATAGCACCTGATATTTTGAGGACAGTAACGCTATCATTGCTTCTAGAGCCTAATGAAAACAGAGCTATATGTCGTTATCTTAATGCAAGCTGAATAAGTTGAAGTCGTTATCCAAGAACATTTGATCAATGTGTTCAATTAAGAATTCAAAACTGACAGATGCACTTCCACCCTATTTAGGGAAACTTGTGAATAGCTCACTTCTCAGAAAATACCATTTAGTCTTCAGTAGGAACCACTCAGTGTATGTGTTAAGGCGCATTTTCGCATCTTATTCACTCTTCCTAATACCACTCAGTTAAGCAATGTACATCTACTTCGCACCCACGCACTTACTAATACACATACATGTCAAATGTCCTAGTGTCTACTTCAAGGATTTAAAGCATGGACTGCATTGAGCTACCAAATTAAGGATAGCACCTTTCCGGTTAGTGAGACCTGCTGACTGATATGACAGTGTATTCAAGTTAAAGGCCCGACATGTTATTTAAAAAAGAATTTTAAATGATTACACCATGCAAATGGTACGACTCTCAGATCTCCAGGAGTTAGAGTAATTTTTGAAATGACTACGATCCACAAATTGCACTATAAATAACGATCCATTAAACTAGACAATGCTCCTTCTGTGGATGGGAATGTATATACATATTAGAAGGCTTTATAGACTGACAAAAGACCTACGACCTACTTTGCTAGGCTGTTACATCAAAGATAAATTTTAAACACTACGGTATATTGGGAAAAAGCGGTACTAGGTTGTACTCAAACGCTTTTTGTCCAACCAAGTATGTTTAACTCGAATATTTACAGATGGCGGATAGATCCATCACAGAATAATGTTTGAAGGCGACTGGGTGTAACTGAGGCAAAACTGAGTGCAAATCTAGACTAAAAGACACCAGTGACTTGGTAACTATTAGATTTCATTCTTTCTGTATAAAAAGTAGAAATAAGAGCAGGAGACTTCCCCCTACCAAAAGTCTCAATAGTTCTGTGGAAAATTAAGATAGCATTTGAGAAAATATATTATCGTGTGCGAAATTCGCCAGCAAATATTGTTGGAAAGCCGACTGATGTGACAGCAAGGTAATGCATGAAATTTCCAACAGGACCTCAGTGCGTGCCGTATTAGCACCGTGATGCAAGATCTTATTTCACATTAGAAACATATGCTGAGTCAACTTTACGTACTTAGTCTATTAGAAAACGTGCGTCATAACTCATCAGTTCATGGTGAACTGAACCAGCGACAGAAGGCTTCCTGGCTAGCATTTTCTTCAGGCACATTGCAGAAAGTGGGATAGTTAACAGCGAGGCGCCCGAAGTCAACGCTAACTGGGTCTGTCTATACTGAAGAACAATTTAATGTAAGAAATATTTCAAAAAATTGAATTGCAAATGTGAGTATAGGACTGTAATTGACAGTAACTGTCCACAAATGAAGATTTAACCACCCATAAAACCGGTTACTTAGGATATATGTCGTGTTTTAATTAAGGACATTCGCGAGTGATGATATCATCACTCATATAAGCTATCTGAATGGATGCCTCGAAATCATCGGCTGTGATATCCGTTCCTTATTCTCACCATTTCATTTACTGAGTGCTACTTATTCCCAAAAGAAAAGTTCTTTGGGTATTTTGCTCTAATAAAAATGGCTGTTTTATAGTCGTGTTCCTCGGATTTTCTCTGCTGAAATCAGCCTTGACCCTCTAAAATTGATCTCTTAAGATAAGTACTTCCAAATGATTTTAGAGTAAAATACAGCGATGAGGGAAGTACTCAATTCCAGCCAACATATTTTTGCAGACTAGCACAAGTAACTCACCACTTTGTGCGTGGCGGCGTTCAGCATCCAGTTTCCAATGTTCAATATCGTTTCCACCAGCTTGTATAAACGAATTTGATTTCGTTTTGCCAGCTTCTTGGTTACGAGGCAAAGGTTCCTGTTTTTTGATGAACTTCTGCGTACTTCGTTTCGCCACTCAACTGTCATACCTTTGCTTGACTCCAAAAGTAGTTGTACTGGGATTAATTATGTCGTTTGTAGTATGTGGTGTGTTAAGACTGTTACTAATGTGAATGAAGTTGATCCTTTCACCAGTTAGTCCTCCGATATCGCCGTCAAAAGAAAAAAGATAATAATAATAGATATAATTAGTGAAGTTATTCAGACTAAACGATCGAAGAAATAAAGAAAACGTAAAAACAGACAGCCAATTAATTTTGAAGTTGAAATGTATGTGCATGTATAAATATATATATTTATATAATATCAACAATAATAATAAGTGCAGGTGTAGTTGTTAGAGCGGTCAGGAGAGTAACACAGGAAAGAATGTAAAGTAAAACGACGATTTAATTGTCTAGCACTGAATGGTGTATGAGATTTTAAAAAATCGGCCATTTGGACGCAGTCCTTGTGTCTCTGCATGATTGTCCAGCCTTCGCTTAAAGCTGTCCATGGACGGTGCGATAGCAAAATCTGCCGGCAGGGAGTTCCAGTGACGGAAAACCCACAGTGAAAAGAAGTGGGAGCGCACCCGGGTCCTTGCTCTCTGGAAAGCTATCCTTCTGGGATTTCCACGAGGAAGCCCATACCTACTCAATGGCAGAGTAGCTTTGTTTGGGTTATTTGGTCATTTGCTTTCTTCTAGGCAGTAATCAAGTCCCCCTAAGCCGATGGTGGCTAAGAGTGAATAGGACTAATTTCTTTAGCTATCCGCCATACGGTCTGTTACAGAGACCCGTCACTCCTTCTGTCGCCCATCTTTGGACTCTTTCCGAAAATTTCGCGTCTCTTCTAGGCAGTGGGAGCGCAATGATACAGTGCACTTAAAGGTGTGGTCAGAGGTATGTTTTGTACAACCATGGAAAGAACTTAGGAGTGAGTGCACCTAATTGTCTATATGTAAAGTGTGCAACTTCACGTGTCCTCTCTACTTCCCCGTGTAATTTACGCTTGTGTTCATCTTTTTCATTAGAACTGGACCTTAGTTGTGCTTCGACATCGTACAGAACAAGCTTTAGTTGGAGAGCGTGTTGTTTGCATTCTGTAGAATACACGCACTTAAATTCAATACTTAAAACATTTTTAGCCAGAAAGCCATACAATTGGCCACTGCCAGTCTTCTAGAGGCTTTAGGTCTGCCTGCAGCCTATCTGAGTTTTCTAAACACTTCGTTGCCCTCCAAATTTTTACTCCGTCAGCGTCAAGAAGAGTCGGGCAGCTTAGACATGATATTAATGGTAGTTCATTGACAGAAATCAAAAATATCAGTGGACTTAAGACAGAACCCTGCTACAATCCTGCTGACGAGCTCTGCGAGGCTGATTGGACTCGACTGAGCTAAGTGCAGGGTTTCAGTTCAGCTAGTTAGTCCTTCAGGCGTGACAGAAACGACTCATCCATACCTGCCTGGCTTATTCTGTGGAGGAGAAGGTCATGGTGAACCGTGTCAAATGTTTTCTTAGAGCAGGGAGAACGCACGGATTGGGATATTCATACATCATCATGATGTCCAATCATCCCTAGGTGACAAGTTTGTTACACAGGATCTACCTTTCCTGAAATGTTGGGCTTCATGGTGTCTATTACTCCTATCAAGGTGCTCCCGCATGTGATCGTCAACAACACTTTCCAGAACGTTTGATACCACTAGAAGTAGGGCCACCGGTTTATAACTAGTGGCATTTTGCATATCGCCACCCTTGAAGATCGGAGAAAAGGTGGCTCCTTTCCACTCCCTTGACAGTTTCACTAAATCCAACAAGTGTTGTAACAAGTCACATTAGGGCCTACAGAGAGCTTCAGCGCGCCGTTTCATGTCGCCACAAACTGGGAATTTTCCAGATGTAAGTCTCTGTAGGTTCCCCAGTACCATTGCCGGGTTTATTTGGGGATTAGCAACTAAGCCTTCCTACGGGAAATGGAGGTGCCGCCATTTTGGTCCGTACCAGTGATGCCCACATTGCTGTCAAACCGTTTTGTGAAGGCTGATCTGAATGTTTCAGCCACATCCAGACTAGTGAGTTATTGACCGTTTGGACCTACTAAGGCGCATGCCTCCTGGTCAGATGGTTTTCTTTCCGGCATGAATGGATACAAGATTTTTGGGATCGCCAGGAGTTTTTTGGCAAGGTTAGCCTTAAATGACCTCCTGTCACTCCTGACTCTCACGTTGCACTGGTTCCTTAGTTCCGGGTATGCGTTGTGTTCACTCTGACTCTTGAATACTCGCCACGTAAATCAAGCTGTCCACCTGGTTTGCAGAATACGTTGCGTCCCTCTCATCAGCCTTGATGACCTCTCCTTTGGCTGTGTTGTGACTATAGGGACGGTACTCGAGATTGATGTGTGAATTATCTTTTTTACCGTTTTGAAATATCCATCCACAGATAACTCACTCATTCTACGGGCCATTTTGCGTCGGACAAAAGAATCCGCATTTCAGCATAGTCCGCCTTGTTATAACACAGACAAGGTCGCGTAGCTGTCTAATTTAGACGCTCCTGCAGAAGAAAATAAAACCCTATGACTGCTCGTGGTGTGTACACATTCGAAAAGTTGTAGGAATATATTCTAGTTTCGATGACTTTCCACTAGGACACCAACTAGTGTCGTCTCTGACATTCTCTTTCAGTCCTGCATTTTTAATGTTTTGCAGTAGATTTCGACCGAATTTTTCCTGAGTATGCCCAGAACCAAGGTTCAAGGATGGGGCATTGAAATCTCTTCAGCTTTAATGATTTGGTTACAGTCCAATTCCCATGTCCTTATGATGGTGCTGAGCAGTGGCTGGCTGTGCTCTGCCCCAAAGATGGGTGATCGGTAGATGCCTACGGTGAACTGTCACCAGACAGAGTCTGGGAGTTCAGTAAGTGGGAGGTCCATTACACGTCCGATTTAACTTACCTGTCAAAGTATACGGCAACTCCCACCTTCATTGTTATCACTGTCTCTCCTGACAAGAACCATGACACTTATATTTTAACATAAATTTACATGAAAATATTGACTTCGTTATCGGAAATTGTGAAAATTCTTGTTTCCGTAATGGTTAAGTCTGTCAAACATATAAGTACCGTTGGGAGACTGAGGCCTAATACTCGTCAACCATCTGTAGGCTTCAGTTACACAGACGATTCTGCTTTTTTGATACCAGACACTCCCAGAGTTACAGTATCTGATACCACGGAGGAACTGAAAGAGAGTACGGCTCGTAGTGAAAATGATTAACTGAGACTTCAGAAATCAACAGCAGACCTACAGAGCAAGTTTGACAGCATTATGCCCCTCACGCAACCGTGTGACCCATCACAGGACATCTGTATAAAATTACTTATCGAATCCAAGCTCATAACTGACCATTTGGCTGCATAAACTGTTAAGAGAATTGTCTTCACATAACGTCTTGGCCTATAATACTCCAGACAGACAGTCTATTGCCAAACTTGAAACTTCATGTCTAAGGACTTGTAATATGGTGTGAACAGACTGTCAGGTTTAGCGTCTTCGCAAGAAATCTGCAAACAACTCATGCCCGGTGCATTTCAAGTTTACATCTATTGAAGAATCTAGAAATTTTCTGATATCTGGCAAGATAATAGGCTCTTCGATACCCAACACTAAGATCAGGGTTGCACCTGATTTAGTCTCGTGCCAAAGACCATGCCGTTCAGGAACACTGAATGATGATAACTCTAGTAGGACAACTGTAGATGATGTTTCATGCAGTTTTCCACTTAGTGATATACGGGATAACGCGTGCATCAAACATTTTTGCAAGCACAGACAAATATTAGCCAGGTATTATATAAAGACACTGCTGCTGACACTGGCACTGTAGGCAAAGATGAATCAACAGGAAATAATGTTGAAATACGTCATTTATACACTGGCACAAACGTCAAGGGCTAGAAACACATCACAGCTCATCCGAATCATGTTCCGACCATATCCTTATAGGTCAGCTACTCCTCAGTCTGACAATCCATTCACTGTGAAGTATCAATCCAATGTAGCTACCCACGTTAGCAAGTTCCCCAGGTGTCACGACAAGCGTGTCACTTCCATTAATAAAACTAAAGTGTCAGAGGTGTCTAAGCATCGGAAACCTTCGATAACCTGTGCCGTGCCCTGTTAGCTACCACCAACCAGGTATACGTTCGAAGGGAGATATTGAAGCACCTGTATTAAATTCTGAACCCAGAGCAAGAAAGCCCATTGATATGATATTTGCGTAAGTGCCTCTAACCCATCCTACTAAGAGATAGTCATTCCAATAGACCAGGCTCCTAGAGGTAGGCTTTACTGGTCTCAAGTGGAAAGCCAAATATAACCAACAACTACTTCTAGACAAACAACACCCTGACGTAGTCGGTGTTATTTCGCTCATCCACTACGCAAACAGATTGTTAGCTAGCCACCTTTGATTGTTCTATCAACTGAATATATGAGAAAGTCCTATAAACATCGGCTACAGTCAACATTCAGTAGGCTAAATAAACTCAGATTCCAATCATACTTCTTTGGTATTTAGTAGGGAAAATGTGCCGATGTCTGCACAAAACTTGCTGTCGTCGATAACTACCCCAACCAGATACCGAGACATCATTCCTGGTCTGACAACAAATTACCGAATACTCATATCCACTATAACTTTCTCAATAACACTGCTCCTAATAGCCGCTTCGGGCAAAGTATTTACTAGAGTCAGTTAACGGAAGCACCTGGGATCGTGCATGTATCACTCGTGATGTCGGACCAATCCCTTGCCGGCACAGAGAACAGTCTACAGCTAGGATATGGAATG